GGATCAACCTACCCATGGACCCAGCAATACCACTCTTGGGAATATACCCAAGAGAGGCCTTATCATACAACAAAAGTATATGCTCTACTATGTTCATAGCAGCATTGTTTGTAATAGCCAGAACCTGGAAACAACCTAGATGCCCTTCAATTGAAGAATGGATGAAGAAAGTATGGAATATATACATATTAGAGTACTACTCAGCAGTAAAAAACAAGGACTTCTTGAATTTTGCATACAAATGGATGGAAATAGAAAACACTATACTGAGTGAGGTAAGCCAGACCCAAAAAGAGGAATATGGGATGTACTCACTCATATTTGGTTTCTAGCCATAAACAAATATTGCTTTTTTACCCATTTGGATCATTACAGTGGCCTGTTGCCTCAGAGGACTTAGCAGGTTACTATTATGCTGACTCTATTAATAACAGACTTCATAATCACTAGACATGTTGCCACTGCTTTTTCCAACTCTTAAAAAATAGCTTATAGTATGTTTACTTTGAAAGTGTCTGTCTATCTATTTGACTGTCTATTTCTGTTCTTGGAAAGGAACTTAGAGCCTTATACATTGTAGTCAAGTTCTAGGTGTGTTTTGCTTGTGTTTTTCTGTGAATCACATTATGCCTGGTGCTTGTGGAGGCTAGAAAAATGGCATCAGATTCTCTGGAAACAGAGTTACAAATGACAGTTGTGAGCCACCATGTGGGTGCTGGAAATTGGTTGGCCCTGGGTCCTCTGGAATTGCAGCCAGTGCTCTTGACCACTGAGCCATCCAGCCCTTTGCAACTTTTTCTTTGAAAAATGCTACTTTTCATCATGTTTTCTGTAAATTTCACTTTGAGAAATTTATTAAGCTCTTCCTTAAAAACATGGAAGATAAGTATTTTTCGAGTCATTTTGTCAAGCCCTTTTTATACAAATCAGTGTTCTCCCTCCCTCCATCCTCCCTCCTTACTTCCTTCCCTCTTTTTCCCTCCCTCCCTCTGTTCCTTCCTTTCATTTCCATTTAGGTTATTGTTCGGCTTGACTTATGTTACTTAATAGATATGTGTCTTTGAGATTTTATATTTTTACCTATAAGATTGGGACATTGATATTACTTTCTTATAATTCTCTTGGGGAGATTAAATAAGACAGTGCTTGTAGCCTAATTATAAGTCTAAAGCATATAGCTGTAACACTCAAATGCTTTGGGTGCCATTCTGTAACATGTGGGCCCTGCTTGTTGGGGTTTCTGTCCCGCCTAGTACCCCACATCCAGCAAGGTCCCAAAGAAAATCACACAGAGGTCTCCATAAGATTACAAAACTGATTGGTCCATTAGCTCAGACTTCTTATTAGCTCTTATATGTCTATTAACCCATTTCCTTATCTATGTTAACCACATGGCTTAGTACCTTTCTCAGCGGGGCAGATCACATCTTACTTCTTCGGTGTATGGGCCAGGGCAGATCACATCTTAATTCTTCAGTGTATGGGCCAGGACTCGGGAGGAATGAGCCTCCTCCTTCCCAGCATTCTCTAGTTCTCATTGCCCCGCCTCTACTTCCTGTCTGGTTGACCCGCCCATACTTTCTGACTGGCCAATTAGCGTTTATTTAAAATATGATTGACAGAATACAGACATTTCTCACACATCATATAGCAGTGATAAAATTTATTCTAAAATGTTACTTTCTCTAAACTTTCCTTCTAAGTGGATATCAAAAACTATTGAGTTAAGATGCTTTTCATGGCTTTCATGTGTGTTTAATGTTTTCTAGAAAATGTATTGCTATACTTTTCTGGTATTTCTGACATTTAGTATATAATTGGTGCATATAAATTAAAACTCTAAAGATACCGGCTTTGTCCTAGATTGTTGAGTAGGGAGGATTGAGTAGAAAATGGAAAGCTCAGTTCATATGTCCTAAATGTTTTTTCTAGATCCAGGTAGATATTATTGCAAATGTCTTTTGTATGTTTCTTTTATTTAATTAGGTCACCATTATTGATTTTTGTAATGAAAATACTTTATTCCCTTCATTTTCTGAAGATAATCATATCATTTAATGTAAATGTATAAGGAAGGTGTTAGCTGCATTAATGGTATAACAATCCTGTAATTCAGCATTAATCTCTATAGTTATTGTTCCCCATGGTCCAACCTGTCCTGTTTTTGGAAAAGGGAGATTGACTCATTTCCATATGTGAGTCATTCTACATTAAAGATACTTTTGATTTCTTCTACTCAGGATTTACTGTTTCCTAGCCATTGTTCACTCCAGTAGTTACTCCTGGAAGTCTTGAGGGGAAGCATGCATATTGTAAAGCTTTTAGTATGTGAGTGAGTGTGGGAATTGACTTCTCTTCTGATTCTTTTGCTTTTCATTACACTATTGTGTAAGAATATACATTATCAAACTTTGCCAGAAGTTTTCAGAAAAGAAAAACATTTATATTGCAAAAATACTCTTAGAATTCTAGATCAGGCTTCACTCCTGAGGAAAAAAAAATCTACCTTCATCGAGGGAATTTCTCATTGCTTGCTCTTTAATGCCATTCTCCACTCTTCCTCCTCCATCTCATCTGTTTTATACCTTAAGATTGTTGCTTATTTTTTTACCTAGTGCAGTTTATCACACGAGAAGCTTATCCAAAGTACCCTAATTCTTCTATCTTATCTCAAAGTGTTTTACTCAGGTACAATCGGTTCATTCCTATGAAGAGACTAGCTTCAGATTTTTTTTCTGGAACATTTTCCATGCTTGAAGAAAAGAAATAATAGATAAACCAGTTGTATATGGAGGTTGAGTTTTCTTCATCAGTAATGTGATTTGCAGTCTGCTAGCAGGCCAGTGTGATGACTGAGTAGGTTAAGGCACTTGCTCCCAAGCTTGACAACCTGCATTTAATGACAGAATCCACATGATGGAAGAGAACCTACTTCCCCAAGTTGTTCTTTGACGTTCACATCAACATACTGTGGCACTTGTGTGGGATAGACAGACAGGCATAGTATACACACAGACACACGCTAATAATTGTAAATAAATATTGAAAAATATATTAGAGGACAATATCTTTTTTACTCAATATTTTATTGTATATTTGTCCACAAGATGTTAAAATAAGGATTTTTTATATGTGAATTAGTAAATTTGAAAGTAGTACTTGCAGGGTTTTTCATATCATCCTTAGGACTCAGATTTGTTAATGATTTCAATTACTATTATTTGTGAAATCGATGTTCTGTTGCTTTGTTTAAGCATTTGTCTTGTTTGGGGTTTCTATTGCTGTGAAGAGATACCATGATCATGGAAACTCTTATAAAGGAAGACATTTAAGTGGGTGACTTTCAGTTCAGAGGTTCAGTCCATTATCATCTTGGTGGGATGTGGCAGCATGCAGGCAGACATGGTGCTAGACAGGTATCTGAGGCAACCTGTGCAGGCAACAGGAAGTGACTTGAGATACTGGCATGGCTGGAGCATATGTGAGATTTCAAAGCCCGCCTCTACAGTAACACCTGCCTTCAACAAAGCCACCCCTCCCAATAGTGCCATTCCCTATGAGCTTATGGGGGCCAGTTACGTGCACAGTACCACAGCATTCATATGTGCTTGCACTCATTCAAAAAAACTGTTTTCTTTCAACTATGTATCAGCTGCACTGACAGGGGCCAGACCAGAGAAGTGAGTAAGTGCTCTGCTGTGTGTATGATTTTGTATGGTTTCAATCCCATGGAGGAGAGAGTCATGTAAAATCCTCCAATGCTGCAACTAGCCATAACAGAGGTATTCCCAATTGTATAGTTTATACTTTATGACTTTAGTTTTGAACTTGAATATTTGTTGATTATAATTGAAATTAGCTATTTCTCTTCCCTTCAAAAGTTTATACTTTTTGGCAGTATTAGAAAAATGACTTATCTACAGTCTCTTTTAATTTTTCTTGGTTGTAATGTGATACAATTTTATTCAGATGACCAAAATTTAGAATTATTATAGAATTAGTACAGATAGAATTAATTTGATGATGGTGGCTTCAGTGACAGTGTCTTCTGTTTAATGTAACAATGGACCGTTCTGTCCGGCTAGTCCTAAACATGCCTTTTCTACCCTTTACTCAGGCTTCTGAGATTTCCCATTTTTGCATCATGACTCTAGTTTCCTCCTCCTATTCCTCTTTATAATAAAGGTATCTTTGGAAGATCCCACATTTTTTCCTGTTAAGTCCGTAATATAAAAATATTAATGATAACTTAGAAAGAACTCAGGAAACATATGATTTTTATTGGTAAATATCTTTTAAATTTGCTTTCTTTGATTTTGCAGAATTAAAAAAAAACTGCACATTTTTGAAGTGGTTATTTATCAAGATAATTCTGACCAAGATGTATTGTAACTGAAAACAATGAAATTTCATATTCTAGAGCAATATTTACCACTGATTCATTTATGTACATATACTGTTACTTAAAGAATTCACTAGACATTCTGAGAAATAAATCATAAGCTATATGTATAGATCACATTGTATGAAAACAAACTAATTCTAATCTCAGAACCTACCTCTTCTCTTTATGTATGTACTCAGATGCTTTCATAAGCCTTATTTTAATTTAGATTTTTAGGGACTTGTGTTTAGCTTATTGAGGGGTTTAAGGTACTATTATATAAAATATCACATTTAGCTAATGTTATTTGATTGTAATAACTAGATTGTTTACATGCCCATTACCTATTGTTCTGTGAAGTCTTCAAGGGCAAGAATAGTGTGTCATATTTTAAAATCTTTTCATCTCCAGTACATAGTATGTAGACAATATGTTACATTAATGCATAAGGAGCAGAACAAGGGTAAGTAATTTATTTAAGAGTAAGTCACAGTATAAAAATTTAGAATATATCTGAAAAATTCACAGTTAAAACAGATTTTATAAAATCACAGACTTTTATTTATTCATTGTTCTCTTCAGATTCCTTACAATTGAACCTTACATTTCTATTCCCTTAGGCTACAGAATGTTGGAGATGTTTTATTGTACTGTATTATTTATTTAATCCATTAAATACTTGTTGCACTACTATTAAGTATATGATGTTTAGACTACACAACTTTAAAAAAATCTTTTTTGGTGTATGATGTATGTGTGCATATATACATGTATGGGGTGTGTGTGCATGCATGTATGCACATGCTTTTGTGCTTGCCGATTGCAAAGTATGTCACTCAGGATAATCTTGGGCGTTGGTCTTCTACTTCAGTCTTCCATTTTGTTTGAGGCAGGGCCTTATTTGCTGCCATATATATGAGGCTAGCTGGCTTATGAGCTTCTAGGGATTCTCCTATCCCCACCTGTCATCCTACCTTAGGAACACTGGGATAACAAAATTGGCTTGGGTTCTGGAGATTTGAGTTCAGAGTCGCACATGTGTGCAAGCACTTTACCTACTATTGATCCATCATTATACAGTATTCAGGAATTGTTGAAGTAAGGGCTGCAGCATGGCTGCATCCCCAACACCCGGGCCGCTTGGCTAGCTTATGCCCAAAATAACAACACACAAACTGTATTCATTTAAGAACCGCTTGGCCCATGAACTCTAGCCCTTACAGGCTAATTCTCGCACCTGGACTAGCCCATTTCTAATAATGAGTGTAAGCACCCCAAGGTGCGCTTACCGGGAAGATTCTAGCCTCCATCCATCCTGTCCGGAAGCAGAGCAGAGTCTGACCTCACTTCCTCTTCCGCCCAGAATTCTATTCTGTTTACTCCTCCCATCTATGTTCTAACCTATGAGGCCAAGCAGTGTGTTTATTACTTAACCAATGAAAACAACAGATTGATATATGACACTCCCACATCAAGGAATACCGGACAGAATGTATTTTAGAGTTGCTATACCCATAAGCCAGATATATTGAGAACTTGGGAACTCTAGTTATTGAAATATTTACTGTGTTGTATTGATAAGCAAGGCATGATGCATTGAATGTTACCCACAAGCAAAGTACTTTATGGCTGGGTGAGAATTTAGCAATCATAAAATATTTGGGAACACTGAAGTATAGGAATTAAACCATGATAATAGGCTCAAATCCTATTACCACTAAATTGTGTGATTTCAGGTGATTATTTAATCTTGTGTTTCTTTATCTTGAAAATATGGTCTAAAAATTGTTCTTACCTAATAGGGTCATTATTAAGATTTAATGAGTTAATAAATGAAAATGACTTAGAAAATTTCCTTATACATAGTTAGCACTTAAGTATGGGCTATCATGATAATTACTAGGATTTCAAATCCAATTATTTCCCTTAAATTTAATTTTCATTATATAAAGAAACCTAAACTGCATAGTTAGTTACATGACTTTTCAAGATATGCAAAAATTAGCAGTAATTCTGTGTCCTGAAAACAATATTTTTGTTTTAGTTGTTATTAGTGTGTATGCATGTATGTGTGCGTGTGTAACGCTATTGTTTGTATGACAGCATATGTTTGGAAGTCAGAGGACAACTTTTGGGAGTTGATTCTCTTACCCTGGGTTCTAATAATTGAACTTGGTTTTTCAAACTTGTGCTTTCAAGTGTCTTTATGAACTGAATAATTATGTCTGCTCCAGAAACAATAATTTTTAGAGTTGATAAGTATAATAGACTTTCTTCTTATTTTTAATCATGTGTGTGTGTGTTTGTGTGTGATAATTGCATGTGGGCTCTGGTGGAGAGGCCAGAAGCACAGGATCTCTCTAGAGCTAGTGTTAATAAGCAGTTTTGAGCTGTCTGATGTGGGTGCTGGGGACTGAATTCTGGTCCTCTACAAGAGCGGTACACACTCTTAACTGCTGAGCCATCTCTCTGTTCCTAATAGTTTTTTATTATTTTTAAAGGACTCTTAGGCTTGTAGGAAATTAAAGGGAAGATAGGAGATTTCTATCATGCCTCGTGCTTACCTTAGTATCCTCTCCTTGTCAATCATGGTCTTTATTAGAGTGCTGCATTTGATAGAATGATTCACTTTGTCCAATTATTATCACGCAAAATGCAATCTGTACATTTATCACACTTGATGTTGTACATTCTGTGGGTTTCAACAAAAGTATTGTCACATCTATCTGGTCACTTTTAGATCGCATTGAGAATAATTTTAAATCCTGAAAAGTCCTTTGTGTTTCATTTATTTATCCCCTTTTCATCATAACCCCTGGAACCATTGCTTTTTTTCATTATCATTTACAATTTGTTTTTTCTAGGATGTCATACAGTGGGAATCATGTAAATTGTAACCTTTTCACATTAGCTTCTTTCGCTTGGTAAAAAGAATTTAAATTTCCTCCATATCTTTGCATGGCTTTGTTCTTTTTAGCACTGGAAAACATTCTGTTGTCTTGATATATCACAGACTGTCCAGTCATATAGTAAAAGACATCTTGGTTATTTGCAAGTTTAGGGAACTATGACTATAGCTCCTTTAGAGCAACACTGATTTTAAAAATAGAGTTGTCAGTAACTGTCAAGTAGTTGTAGTATTTTCTACTGTTGCCATTAGTGAATGAGAGTTCTGGTTGCTCCACATCCCCACCAGCATTGGCATTGTCAGTGTTTTGGGTTTTGGCTATTCTAACGAGTGTGTGGTGATATGTCCTTGTTTTGTTTTGCACTTCTTCAAGACATATGATGTGCATATTTTCATTTGCTTTTGTTTTTCCTCTTCAGTGAGGTGTCTGTTAAAGCTCTTTGCCCACTTTTTTTTAAAATTTTTTTTAATTTTTTTATTTTTTTATTTTCGAGACAGGGTTTCTCTGTAGGTTTTTTGTTCCTGTTCTGGAACTAGCTCTTGTAGACCAGGCTGGCCTCGAACTCACAGAGATCCGCCTGCCTCTGCCTCTCCGCCTGCCTCTGCCTCCCGAGTGCTGGGATTAAAGGCGTGCGCCACCACCGCCCAGTTCTTTGCCCACTTTTTAATTTCATTGTTTGATTTCCCAGTGAGTTTAAGACATTATTTCGTATTTTAGATAATTGTCTATTACAAATTTTGTTTTCTGCAAATATTTCCTAGCTTTTCATGGCATGTATTACCACTTTCTCTTCTGTATCCTAAACAGAGGAAAAAAGGTAATTTTAATGAAGTTTAGTTTACTAATTCTTTTCTTGAATCACACCATTAGTATTTTACTCAAAAATTTCTTCTTATAGTTTTGGAGTCTTTGCGTTTTGCATTTTACAAATAATTTTCAAAGCATTTATGGTTTGTGTTTATGACACTTTTTTTTAATGTTGTGTTGTTCCTGCACTATGTGTTGAAAAACTGCTTTGTTCCCTTTTAAATTTTGTTAAAGATCAGTTGACGTAAGTTTATGTGGATCTGTTTCTGGCCTCCTTTTAAAATCCGTTGATGTATTTATTTATTTAGCCAAAGCTACACTGTGATGATTACATTATAGCAATAAACATGGAATTACCAGGTAGAGCAGCAAGGGGCAAGATGTGTACTAATATATTGGATGACTTTGAACTTGTTAGGCTCCTAAGGGTGACCATTAACTTGTGCTTCATCTTTCCCACCTCCTCTAAATGTGGGATTATAAGCCTAAAACACTATGCCCAGTTTTAGGAAGTGCTGGGATTGAACCAGGCTCTGTGTATGCAGGCAGGCACTCTGGCAACTGATCTACATATATCCTACCCAGCCCAGTAAGATTGTTTTTGTTATGTAATGAAATCCGCTCTGAAGTTTGAAGCACATAATACACTAAGCCACATAAAGGAGTGGTTTTACACTTAGTATATGTAAGATCATTGGTGCCAAATATAACGTTGAAATAAGATGCACTCTCTTACCTTTCATTTCTTATGTGAATTCCATTAGAAAGATTTACTCATTTTAATGTTTTTTAAATGCATGCAAATGATACAGTCAAATGATATAGAACAATATTAAGGAAGATGGTTGTCTACACAGATACAGTAATCAGGTATGGTATACTGTAACAGCAGTTGTTTCGAAAAAATAAGGGATAATAAGAATGACTTGCAACCAGTCCTGTTTTGTGATGTTGGTCATTCTACAACTGAAAATATATTAGCATTTTGGAAAAGGCACCTGAGAGTTGGCAAAGGGTGTGGGATGTACGTGATGGGACCAGTAGAATAGTTAGCACTGTTTTCCTGGAGCTAGTGTGTGTGTAAATTTGGTTAAAGATACAGGGTAAAGAGTTTCCTTTTTTTTTTTGCTTTCAAGGAAGATTTATTTAAAAGCACCAGTTTTAGTTTTTATTTCTAATAAAAGATCAAAGGTTATTTACCATAGTTTCAGATCCATATTATACGGAACCTTGTCCTGCTTGAGTGGTAACTCCTAGTGGGTTTATTTCTCTAGTATACTGTGTATTGTATGCATTGCACCTGTTCATACAGACTGAATTACATTGTGGTGTTTGTATAGCTGGATGCTTCAAACAAGAAACCAGTCTGCTTTCTTCTCGGGCACTAGCCTATTAGCAAGTTAATTGAACTTAATTTTGTTCTTGTCTTCAATTTTGTGTATGGTTTTGGTTTATTTACTGAACAGTGATTTCTTCTTTGCAGTTATCAGTTTTGTCTGAGATCAGTTTTCCTATTGTATGGAGTCTGCTTTTTACAGTCTCCTTTAAGACTGCTCTGACTTTAAAATCATTACTAGGCTTTTGTCAGAGCAGATTTGTTGACATTTTTCTCACATTAAAAAAATAAATTTGAAAAATTGCACAAATAAGCTATGCAATTCCCTATTTCCTGCTAATATGCAAAAATGTATTTATGATAATTCCACACGTACTGTTGTGCCAGAGCTGAAACAATACATTCCTCATAATGGAGCATAAATAAAGAAGGTGGAGCCAGCTGCTCTTAAACTGTTTATTTGCAAGCAGCAATGCTATAGAGAATGTACCTTTTCACTCTGTTAGTCTGAAATACTGAACCTGTTGCTGCATTAGACGAGTTGCATTTTGCTGGATAGGGGAAGGAGGGCTGTCTGCTGTCTGGTAGGAGGGCTTTGTCTGTGCCTTTCTCTCTCTCAGTTTCTTTCTGTTTTTCTTTCTCTCTCTCCTCTTTCTCTCTCACTGGCTTGCTTGCTCTGTCTCTGTCTTTCTCTCTCTCTCTCTCTCTGCCCCCCTTCCCCTCCCTCTCTCTTGCTCTCTCTCTCTCTCTTCCCGTCTCTGTGGTTTGTAAGGTAGGTTGCAGTGTGTGTATATACACAACATCAAGAGCAGGAAAATGGACTCATTAGGGAGGCAGGCAGTCATTACCACTCACACTGTACTTCCAGGGAGACACCGATTATGAGAAGAGAAACTCAGCGCTGGGGAAGAAGGTAGGGGCAGACAACTTTCATAAAAACAACCCTGCCTCCTCAGGCCCCCTGTATTTATCATCTTATTTAGTCCACAGTGCTTTTATGCTTTCTTTTCTTGAATTTTAATTTCTGTTTTTAAATTTGACAGAGCTAATGCTAGCTTAAAATTTGGAACATCTATAGGAGGCCTACCCTCTACTAATTTTCCTAATTATTTAAGGGTGTGACCTTGTGATTCAGTTTTATTAGTTTAAAAAATAATTACAAACAAGCCTATTTTTCTTACTAAAGTACCAAGAAAATCAGAATCTTTCACTCTTTTAAAACAAACTCCTCCGTATGTTTGTCTCTTTGCTTTTCTTGTCTGTTTATGCAATTCCATCTGTCTGTCTATATATCATGTTGTCCTTATTTATTGCTAACTGGATTTTGTTAGTTATTTGCCAGTGAGTTTTAGCTTCAATGCCAGTGTGGTTACTACCAAAGTGAGACTCTTGTTCTTTGTTTTACATTGAAGTTTAAAGTCCATATTTGCAGTTTAAATCCTTGAAGCAGGTTGCATACTTTATACCAGCAGGCTTGTTTGATGACATTGGACATAAGGTGAGGGGTAGTCCTTTAAGGTGGGCAAGAATCAAGTAACTATTTTTTGTTATATATGTAGAATTAATGCAACAGGGGGCTATATCTTCAAAGGAATTGGGGCTCTTTTCTAACTTTATTTTAGAGATGGATTGTTGCATTTATATTGATGCTACTATCGTTAGTGAGAATATATACTTTATTAACAAGCAGTTTTTATCCTGGGACAGTTTTCTTTTGGTTTGTGTATTTATGCTTGAGGAGGGAGTATTGGGAGCTGGCCTTTTTTTTTTTTTTTAAACAAAGTAGAAGCTATGGAGTGTATCAGGCCATTTTGTGCAACAACTGTAAGTATTCCCTTAACAATTTTGAGACTATAAAAATGTACTTGTATTGAAAATTTGTATTTGAGGGATTCTTTTTCTTTTCTTTTTCTCATGGTGGGAAAAAGTTATATTTTAAACTAGCTTATATTGTTGAGGAATTTTCTAGAAAAATGTTTTTCAAAATTCTAAGGAGTAGTTAGAAAAGCTCCACTTGAAGTATACTACTTTTAAATAGACTTTCATTTGGGTTTGTACAAAAGTAAAACTTTTATTCATCTGATAAAAATTAAGTCAAACTGAGAGATACATAAATGTTTTCAGAAAATAGACGAGTGGTAATAGGAAATGGATGCTGATCTGTGGAGATCTTTGATAATAACAATCACCTTTTTGTAATACATTATTTATTTACTATAATGGCAGACTTTTCCCCTGTTAATTCCATTAGGCCTCTCCGACAACACAAAGAAGTCCATAAAGCAATATTCTTAACCCACCTGGGACACAAGAGCAGACTCCTAAACACATTCTCAAGGTTCAAACCTAGTAAAATGTTTATTAAAAACCCATTATTATGGAAGGGTAGTGAACTTTTGCTACTGAAAGACTTTTTTTTTACCTCTTCTTTTAAAAAATTTATACTGAGACTTTTAATTTAGTTATTTTTCTCCACTGTCTTTTCAGCTGGAAAGGAGCAGTATATACCTGAAGTGCATTCAGTCAGGTCCTTCCAGGGGCCAAGGGAAGTTTAGGGGGAGTCTGTAGGAAGTATGTGTTAACATCGTGCGTGATAATTGGAATTTTGAAGAGATTTTTTCCCAGTTTAGACTTATCCAAAAATTTGTTTTAAAACTAAAAGGTCAGAAGTGTGTTTGTCCCATGCACCTGCTATTTTTGGTATTATCACTGGGAATTATCTGAGATGCTCTTTTAAACAAAAGAAATCTTTCATATATCTTTTGATCAATTGCTTTAATGTTCATGCATATTTATGGAAATATTACTGTATATTTATGTACATAATTCATATTTATATGGATCAAAGAATCACAAATCCATTGCTGGTATAATTTAAATATTTCACATTGTGTTTTTACATTACCCACAAGTAAACACCAAATGCAGCAACTCTCAAAAGAAAATGGAAAAGGAAAATTTTAGTCATTTCTGTGGTGGTTTTAATTTTTAGAGTGTGTTTTCTTTTGCATTATAATTCTTGGTTGGCCTTCAGTAAATTGAAAATATTTTTAGTATGAAAAATAATCTTGCCCTTTTCTGGGAGGAACTGTCACAATCTAAATACTGCAGGACATTGTAAAATGTGCATAAGTAAACTTAAAGCCAGTGCCCTCTGCTGCACAGGGATTTGGAAAGCTGAAAGCCTTGCGTCACAGGAGGGCTATAGAGTGCCAGAAAAATTCATTAACCAGGCTTGCTGGCTTTGGTGGGCTCATCTTCCTGTTTAGGTCCCAAAGCCTGACACTGTCAGGTCACAGTGTGTTTCATTTTAATGTTGGAGCAGACAGTTATCTAACACACCCACATGAGGAAGTGCTCTAAAGCAGTTATTTCATGCTTTGCCATGCCCTGTAGCTAAAACAATTTGGTATTGAGTGACGTGTGTGTGCTTTTTAACTCCTATCCGATGAAAATCAGCTTTGGTCTTTGAAAAGCACCCAGACAGTGGAATGCCAAACAGTGTGATTCAAATGCTAAGCACATGCCAGTTTAAACTTTTTAATTTTTTTAACTGAGGGACGAATCAGATTATTTTTAATAGAAAGACTGTGATTTCCTGCATCATACTCAATAGGGTCTCAAAAATCGCAGATACTTTTTCTTCTTCTTCTTCTTTTTTTTTTTTTTTCCTGCAGAAGCCTGTATTCGTCAGAGGGAAGCTGCTGCATACTTTCTCCCTGAAACGTTAACAAATAAATGGCATTCCTGTTTATTTATCTATTTTTGAATTTTAATGATTAGTCTTCGTGCTAATTAACAAATTCCTGTATTCATAAAATCTGGCACTATATAAATAACCAATTGTGTGATTATCTACACATGTTCTGGCTTTCTATAAATATAGAAATTATTGGTGGATGTGTTCATGGACTTACCCAACCCTGAGTAGTGGCTGGTTATGCTGTCTCATAGGAAGCCAAATTCAGGCCGTGAGCAACGTGTTGCTCTGAGGTTGGCAAGGTGCGTGGAGGCAGCATCTGGCTCCTGTGCTCACTGTAATCTTTTCTGGCAAAGGGAGGTCTGCTGTTGACATTTTTTGAATGCTACTAGTCCAGCCTTCTTCAGCTGCAAGGGTGGCCTCTTGAAAGTAGCTGTTGATAATGGACATTGGAGCTGCCCTACCTTGGAGCTACTTAAAAATATATAAATTACTTTCTTTTTGTTCGTTTGCTTTTTGTTTGTTTGTTTGTTTTTGTTTTAATTTCTATTTAAAAAAAGCCATTCCAACTTTTTTGAGTGGTAAGGAACTAAGCTAGTTTAAGTCATGTAGTATTGAAGAGAAAAGTCTAAGTAGTTTTACTTATTGACTTTATAAATTATAAGCAAGTTTTAGAAATTGGTTATCACAAAGAAACAGGTTATCTTAGAGACTGTCCACACTGTCAGTTGTGTAAAGTGTATATGCAAGTGCCCCCCCTCACTTAAAAATAATTTAAAAAATACTTTTAAATTAGTTTACATAGTAGCAGGTTTCCTTATGATTTTTTGGTCCATACTTAGTTTTGGTTGGCTTGTGACTCTGTCAACTTGCAGAGTTCCTTACCTAGGTTTTTTGTGTGCCTATGTATTCGTGTGCCAGTGCCACAGTTATAATTAAGCAGTCTGTTCTTTGCTTAGATTTTGAGGCCTTTAATTTTTTCATTTTATATAAGACATTTTGCTATTTTATGTAATCAATTAACAAGCAACTTTTCATTTGTGACTGAAAATCTAAAGACTACATGCATATTCTACAAATTCTAGAAAATGTATGACTTCTGTTGTCCTGTTATGTAAATATTTATATACCAATATTGATATCTATTGTATTTATTTAATGTACCAAGAATATTTTTGAGCTATTTTAGAAACAGTAGTAGAGGCGAATTTCTGATGCTGTAAGAAGAAATAGTGCCACATACCTGTTCTTAGTCATGCGTGTGGAAGCCACTACAATAGGTGTGTTCAAAGCAGCATTTAGGAGCTCATCAGAAGTGGGACTTTTCTGTGACTCTGCCTCTTCCTACAGTAATACTGTCTTGGTCAGTTGTCCTGCTGGTTGTGCACTCAGCCGAGGGAAAATTATCCTTGACTTTGGTTTCATAACCTCTCTTCTACTCCAGGATCAAGCTCTTTGGTGATTCTGCAGTTCACTTGAAAGTAATCAGCTTGAGGACATGGAACTTTTGCCTTTTTGGAATCTTGACACTCAACTGAAACTCCAGGCGGGTGTTTGGTAATTCTGTAAAGCAATGAAACTCTTATGTAAGCACTTTAACTCAGACAAAATTAGCCACTGACTTCCAAGTTAGAAAATGAAGAGAAGGAGCAAGGACAGTTGATCAATTCATACAGTTGTCAGATGGAAACCGAACATATTCTAATTAATTCTGAATATCTTTGCTTTCCTTTGAAGCTGACTGTAAAGATGCTGACTATTATATCCTGTTTGTCTTTTTGATATTAGAAGTAACTTTGGTATTGAAGACTTCTGTGTCTCCAGATATGATGATGAATTTAGTGTTCATATTTCATGTTATGCAGTTAAGTATCAAGAATTCATTTGAAACATTCTTTTTTTTGAAACATTCTTATATTAAACTACTAATGTCAGGAGTTATATTGAAAATAATTTACATATAGTAGACTTGCAGTTTTTGAAGGCTAAAACAATGCTCAATAAATTGAAACCATAAAGGTACAAATGGTAATAATTATAAATTACATATAGTATTATTTTGCCCTTAAACTCACTGTGAACCTTTTTTGAAACCATTAAATTTGTTACATAAATTTTAACAGTTAGAAGGTTTAGTTTTCTCTTTTTATTAGATTATCATATGCTTTTGTTTTAGTTCTCCTTTTAATATATCCTGTGAATTTACAATCCAATTGTGACTTCTTGTTGTGGATTTGTTTTGGAGTTTGAACTTAAAAACAAATTAATGTAATTGACAAGAATTAAAGGAGTGTTTCAATTAGTTTAGTGTAGGCATGCCACCTTAGCAATTAGTAAACAAACAAAAAGCTAGCAGAATACTTACTCACTTTATATAACTTTTTGGTTCCTGTATACATGTATGAAAACTGTATGACTGTCATTTTAAATAAAAACACTTTTCTAGACATCCTTTCTTTTGTAGGCTAATTAGAAGTTAGGCAAATACTGTTGGAAGGGCTGGCCTGCTTTACACTATTTGTTGTTATTTGTTTTCTTTTTAAATATTGGGCACACTAAATTTCCTCTTGATTCAGTAAATATACTCCTTTCTTGTACATACTTCTTACTGTCTTTATATTCCTGGTTGTATAGTCTTACTACCATGATTCTAGACAGGATAAAAAGAACTACAATAATTGTAACATTTTCTGGATTCTTACATCAGCAGTGAACTTTATTCCCTTATTTTATCCCTAGAAGGGAGAGAAATAGGTGTGATAAAAAGTAAATGAAGATAAATTGAGATAATATAAGTAATACTGATGGTGGATGGAGTAGGTGGAAGAAAAGAACTCAGTCCAATTTTGGTAAAACCATTTGACTCATCCCTGCAGCTATTGTTTTTGTCCGTCTCAAGCAGATAGATGTAAATATTCCATTTATCCCAGGACAGATTCCAGTGGTGCCACCAAAACAAGGTCATAGAAGTCAAAACATCTCACATTGCAGTACTCTCAGTGCCATGCTTCTTTTTGTCCTTTAATCCTTGGGTTTTGAGTTGTGAGCAGATTTTTATATTGGTGAACAGATTCATTTGTTTTTGTAAGAAGTCTTCCTAACAAAGCCTTTTCCAAGCCTATGCTGAAGCGGTACCATGAACTGAATGAAGTTGAGGGAACTGATCTCCTAAGTTTGTGTGTGCTTCCTCTTAAAGTCAAAGGATTTTATATAAAATAACAACAAAACACCCTCTAAACTTTGCGGCCCACAAAATGGGTTCAGGTTTTGTTTTCCATAATGGCTTTATGAAACCAATTTTTAATAGCTCATACTACCTGGTATCCAGCCCATTTGGTGGTTTTCTTTGTAAATATTGAATAGATATGAATAATTTTTTAGTTTTAATAAAAATTATACTCTCATATTCTCATTATACCCACCAGCAAGAAGATACTCTAGGTCTTACAATAGTTTCATTCTACTGAGTGAGCTTGAAATATATGAACAAGAATTTGGAACTGATTTTTTCTTGGTATGTTGTGAGAAACTCTACGGTTTCCTACAAAAAGCTTTTGCTTAGTAATCAGGTGGTATTAATTAATGCAAAAAAGAAAGATTTAAAGTGGCTAAATCTGGAGGCCTTGTTTCTGATTCTGACTGATTTTAAAGAGGACATAATTTCTGTTTTGCAGTTTCTTTGAAAGTAAAACAGAGTAAATATTTCTCTAATTGTTTTAAGTAGCTATGTCTGTAAGTCTATCTGTTCATATTTTCTGTTTATAAGTTAAAAGTGTATGGAGGAAGTTTGAGTTGGTAATGAAGGAAAAATAAAAGAAGCCTTTGTGGTCTCAGAAAGCATAGCACTTTAACTTTTAAGGTGGTGGTTATCGGGGTAAGTAAGTGTCACAATATATTATCGGTCTTCTTTAATGATTCAACCAAAAAGTAAACCAAAAAGTGTTTTTTTTTTTTTTTTTTTTTTTTTGGTGTCAGGGTAAAGAACTTAAAAGTCTGTGGGTGGTTTGATAAAAGACAATTTTTAACTAAACGAAGTGCAACATGGCTTCTATGGCTCCACTCCTTCCCACTGGCCACTAGATGGAGAGACGGTCCGTGTCCACAGTTTGTCCGTGGTAAACAGCTCAGTCATGAGTTTCTATTGGTAAAGCCAAACTGTATACCTTTGGACATTTTTCTGAACTCATACATGACATTTTGGAAAGGCCATCAGAGAGTATGTTGTCTTCTATAAAAGCTTGATGTGATTTTCTTGAAATTCAAAATGATTTGCTCTTCTTTAAGCCCCTGTAAAATGCTGGCAGCCACAGGAGGCTGGCCAGTATTACAACTCTGGTTTTAACTGCCACAATAGAGCCTTTTGCCTCTTTCAAATCTGTCCCTTTAGAAAGGGCCCTGAAATGAATGTCAGCACGACACTGCCACCTTGTGTCCCCGTTGCTGTGAGAGTAACTAATGCTTGAGTCACTGAAAAGGAAAGAACTGGACATTCACAAAAATTTTGCAAAGTATTGTAAGCTTAGATTTTGCATTGATACAAAAATCCTTGTAAAGTGTTTTAGTATGCTTGAGAGTTCTTTTCTTTTCTTTCTTTCTTTCTTTTTTAAAAAAAACTTTTATTCTTTCATACATTGCATCCCAAACGGTTTCCCCTCCCTCTACTTTTCCCAGTCCCTCCCTGCACCTTCCCTCTTCCCCACATCAACTCCTCCTCTATTTCCCTTCAAACTAAACAATAAAACGAAAAAAGCAAATAACAAAAAACCAAACAAAAACAAAAAGTACAGGTCTCCCAGGGAAATCCACGGAACATGGCCTAACAAGATACAGTAAGACTGGGCACACACCCTCATTTCAAGGCTGAACATGGCAGCCCAATAGGAGGAAAAGGGTCCCACATTCAGGCATACTCAAGGAAATGTTAGTATCGGTGTGTTTCCCCTCTCTCATACTAGTGTATATTAAAAATTCATTTAAAATGCTGAGTGCAGAGAGGGATGTGCTGAGAATTTGAAATGAAGAAGATAATGCATAAGAGAGTTTTTCACTTAGTTCTTACCACTTGTAAAACTGAAATTCAGCATACCGGACAGTGAGATATTTTCTCCTTTGAATTCTGATGGGAACTTTTATATGCGTCACTTTTAATACCACTCTTCACATTGGATTGCTATTGTTTCTAAGCATATATGAAGTATAAGCCCTGAGTTGGAGATTGAGGCTTATGTATTAACTGTCATTCTAGAACTTTTTATGGCATACAGAATTGTCAGTTACTTAAGATCCACATGAATACTTATACTGGTTAGTTTATGACATATGCATCTCTCTCTCTCTTTCTCTCTCTCTCTCTTCTGACACACACACACACACACACACACACACACACACTACCCCCCTAAGTTTTAAATGATTTTCTTTTTTGGAAAAACACCTTTTGTCTTACCTCCTTTTCAAACAAATTCTTTATATCTTTACTTCCTTTTGATATTAAAATGACCTTTTCTTTTTTTGCTGAGGAAAACTACTCCGGACTGTGTGTTGTAGTTGACTGTGGAGTCAACACTCAGTATCTAATTCTAGCTTCACCACTGACTTACTATGCTAATGTCGATGAAATTGACACTCTTATGTTAATTTCCAGGACATAAAATCAGTTTGCATTATCCTTGTACCTCTGGGGTCTTAGTTTTTGGATTAACACTGTAGCTAAAAGTTGAAAATACTGTTTGTTATCTCATAATTTAAAAGAGAAAACTCTTATAGTGGTTACATTTGATATGAGCAAGGCAATTATAACTGAGGGATATTCCAAGGTTTTGCTTTTTATTAAATATTTAGTTTGGTTGATTGGGCTACCACCATCTTTCTGTGCATTAGTTATAAAGTAAGTCAAGTAGAATAAATTTAAAGAATGCGATAAATGTGTTGCTATAGAATTATAGACCACTTGTAACCTACACATTATTTTTATGTTTTATTTATAATATTTAAAAGTCAGTGTTACATTTTAAATTTCACATGTTTTTGTATGAATTTTACACCTGGGTTCTCAGTCCAAATATCTCTGAAAATACAAACAAAATTATGATTGGATAATTTGCTTAATTTCTTAAATTTGACTTCATAATTTTTAAAAAAGTAATAGTAGATTCTGCCTTTCCTCTAACCCCTCATAAGATTGTTGTGAGAGTTAAATGAGTTCATGCTATAAAGTTTTGGTGAGCAGTAAAAGGAGTGTACAGATACTAGTGATAGTCACTGCTATTACTGCTGTAATCAAAGAAGGGATAGATAATAAAATCTAAGTCAAAGCAAAACACACAGCTTAAGAACTTTAAAATTTGTGGTATTTCTTAGCCGAGTTGCTTCTCTGAGGCAGCAGATGCTTTAAAGATGTTCTTGAAATTTTCTGTATTTTATTTTAATAACAATTTTTATATTTAGGCTAAAATTATTTTCTCAAATAACTTTTTAAACCTATCATTCACAAGTTATTTTTTGATCATGGTATTTATTAAGTATATAAGCTAATTTTTAAAAATTACTATGGAACCAATAACTATGGAAAATGTTTAATTTTTGGTATTGCATTGTTATGCTATAGTTCATAGGTTTTTAGGCATCAGAATGCATAATAATTGCCCTAAGGCATTTCTTAAAATTTAGCTTCCCGTTGGTGGTGGTGTTGGGGGGGCATGCCTTTCATCCCAGCACTTGAAAGGCAGAAGCAGGTGGATCTCTGTGAGTTCAAGGCCAGCCTGGTCTGCAAGAGCTAGTTCCAGGTTAGGCACCAAAGCTATACAAAGAAACCCTGTCTTGAACAACAAAATCCAACCAACCAAAAAAAAAAAAAAAAAAAAAAAAACAGAAAAAGAAAAAAAATCAGCTTCTTAAGCTCCAGTTCCAATAATTGTTCAGTGGAAATTGGGGATCCTGCATTGTAGCTGGTCCAAACACTTTAGGAAAAGGTCAGTTGAATTTTATGTCATTTACATATAGCCGCATCTGCATCACTTTCAGCAAGTATGGTTTTTCTAGATTTATAAACCCTGTTTTCAGATCCCATTAAGCAGTATTTGGATATATATATACATATATATATATATGTATATATATATATATACACATATATATACCAAAGCTACTCCATCATTTTTTTGTGACAAACCTTGAGAATGACTGCTTTTTTTAAGGTGTGATGTTACAGTATGTTTATGGTTGCATCAAATTTATGATTCTTTAACTAAACACAGACATATTTTGCATGTAGAAGACTAGAGTCAGTACTGCCATGTATGAAAAATGTAGTTTTGCCTTATAGTCTAAATATTAAGGAAGAAGGTCAATACTTATTGTTTTTCACATAAATTGCTTAACTTAGTCTTTACCTACAAGTCTGTGTAGGCAAAGATTAAAAACCTACAGTGATATTCTGCCTATGCTTCAGATAAAAGACTCTGTATAGAATGCATTGCAAAGTTCATTGACAGCTGAATATGTCATAGTTAAGATTCAGAGTCAGTGTTC